AGGTACCTCCTTTTTTGATGGCCTGTTCTTTCTACTGGGATCTCACTCGCAGAGATCTTCCATTCTTCCATTTAGGTTTTTTTTTTTTTTTTTTTGCCAGAGTGTCTTGGCTTTCCATGCTGGGCCTCATTTTTCTAACTGTGACAATGAGGACAGTGGCCTTGAAAGTTTTTGATCCTTTCTAAGACTGAAATTGTATGATACCAGTAGTAGTACACAATAGCATTTTTTTTTTCACCATGGAGACTGACATCATAGGGTATGAGAGAACGGCAGCATGCATTACACAGAAAAGCTGTATAAACCACAGCATTGCCTTGAGCAGTTCTGGTGCAGGATCTCATCACAGATGGATTTTCTGGCTTCTCCACTCCTTGGACATCTTCAATTGCCAAAGTTTCTGAAGGCAGACCACCATGCAAAGCCAAGGGCACTGGATGGCCCTCGGGATCTGGGTGCTAGGCTGGGAGGAGAGGGCTCTGTAGGTTCACATCAGGCAGTCATTAACAACTGGGAAGGGGCACCAAGGAAACTCAGAAGGATGCTTTGGCTTTGTCTCAATATTTCTCAATATGCACTCATAGCAGCCTACTGAGAATGTTATCAATGGATTGAAATTTTTCTCCTGTGCAATATAGAGCTAATTTTTCTCTGTGTATAGGATATTATTTTATAAATGAGTTTTATCCTTTTTAAAATCATTGGTGAATGGCCGGCGCCGCAGCTCACTAGGCTAATCCTCCGCCTTGCGGCGCCGGCACACCAGGTTCTAGTCCCGGTTGGGGCGCCGGATTGTGTCCCAGTTGCCCCTATTCCAGGCCAGCTCTCTGCTGTGGCCAGGGAGTGCAGTGGAGGATGGCCCAAGTCCTTGGGCCCTGCACCCCATGGGAGACCAGGAGAAGCACCTGGCTGCTGCCATTGGATCAGCGCTGTGTGCCGGCCGCGGCGGCCATTGGAGGGTGAACCAATGGCAAAGGAAGACCTTTCTCTCTGTCTCTCTCTCTCTCACTGTCCACTCTGCCTGTCCAAAAAAAAAAAAAAATCATTGGTGGAAAAGCAGTATAGAAAGGCCAATATTATTTCAGGACTGGGCTTTTACAAACAGGGTCCTGAGAAACACTGGATTTGAGAGTGGGGTTTTAGATGCGCAAATCCTCACTGGCCCCAAAGACTGATCTGACATTTATCCCAAGTGTTCTTAAGTCTTGTCCCTGAGGGATTTGTGCATTTTACATACTGATTAGTTTATAGCAACAATGCTAATTTGCACTGACTTTAGGGATTATACAGTAAGAATTATTAACTATAAAGGTAACAGCATTGCAGAAGGAAGAGGGAAAACAACTCAGAGGGCTGAAGAGTTGTAAGATGGGAACCAGTCTCTTCCTTCATTACTGAGCCACAGTTGTCCTGGAGTCATCACCCAGCTCTGGGTGGCTTTCTGTACCCAGAGTAAGAGGTGAGAGACAGAGTTTTGGTAAATCACTGGGGCTTTTCTTATGGATTAAGCAATGAATGTGATTAACAATAATATTGAGAATTCCCAGTTACCTGCCTTGTAGCTCCTCTGTAGCTAATTTTCAATTCTGTGTTCATTTCCTTCAATAACTCCCATTCCAACCCAGATGGTGTCTATTTAGGAAATTCAGAAAACTGTTGATATTAGCATAAGCAGAACAAATTGGGAAATGAATTAGTGCAAAGAAATGATCTAATGCAATATTAAACTGAATACAAACAACTTCTGAACTGTCTATTCCATAGACTCACTCCTCACTCAACAAATATTTGCTAATCCTCTGCATGATGCTGGACGTTGAGGGATCACCATGAGGTGAAGTCTGTCCCTTCCTCCCATGGCTCACAGTCTAGGATAAGTGAGCAATTGTGCTGGGACTTTGGAGCCCAGAGGTGATTCTGTTCTCATAGATGTCAGGAGCTAAGGATGATTTGGTTCCAAACACTGCCTCTTCTGATGCATGCAAATATGCTCAGACACACTGCATCTTTAATCTCCATTACTCTGTGTCGGGCACTATGGCCACCAGACAAGACGGCATCAATTTCCTTATGTAAACACTGAAGTGCTGGGAAGCTCAACAGCAAGTGCCATGAAGGGAGAGGTGCTGTCTCCTCCCCAAATGGCCTCACTTGAGAGAGAAGCTGCCTACTTTAAGTACTCAGTGGCCATTTGTTGAATAAATTTGATCCTCATTATTGTTGTATCATCATCATCATTCTCATTTTGAAAACAAGGGAAGTTAGAAAAAAAAAACAAGAAGGAAACATTAACAAAAAAATAAGCCAAGGAAGTTGACATTCAGAGAGATTAGGGAAGTTCCAGCACACGTAGCTAGAAAAAGGCAGGGCCAGTCGCCAAACCATGGCCTCTGCCTGCACTTGCTGCCCTCTCTCTGCCGTTGTGCTGCACCTGCTGGAGAGCCAGCAGAGGGCCTAATCACTGCCTGTGCTTGGGGCATGACTGAAAGCAAGGAGAGACAAGCTCCCGATTTTCCTACCAACCTGTGATTGGAAGATGGTGTCCTGAGAAGCCTGGAAACAAGGAGTCAACCTGAATTGCTTTGAGTTCTAAACTCCACTCACTGCTCTCCAAGAGCAAGTCACCTGATTTCCCTGAGACCTGGTTTCCTCACTGACAAAACCATAATGATAATGAAATTCTTCAGTAAGAAACAAATGTGATAAAAATTATAATGTGTGGTCCTCAGTATTTACTTATAGATCATTTTATTATCGTTTTAAGCATTTTAGTTATCTTTTCAATTGTTATTTGTCTTTAAACACATCAAAGAGTGAATATAGTTCTAAATTGTGTGGGATGTTATGCTATTACTTATTGTGGTAAGTGATCTTTAAGATTATGCACGGAAACTGCATCTGTTTCAGGTCCTGGAATTAAAGCATAAATCCTTTTACTGTATCTGCTCTTTTCTTTTTTTCTAAGATTTATTTATTTATCTGAAGGGATTACACAAAAGCGGGGGTTGGGGGGAGGGAGAGAGAGAGAGAGAAAGAAACAGAAACGTCTTCCATCTGCTGGTTCATTCCCTAAATGGCTGCAACGGCCGGAGCTGGGCTGATCTGAAGTCAGGAGCCAGAAGCTTCTTCCGGGTCTTCCATGTGGGTGCAGGGGCCCAAGGACTTGGGCCATCTTTTACTGCTTTCTCAGGCCATGGCAGAGACCTGGATGGGAAGTGGAGCAGCTGGGACTTGAACTGGCGCAGAAATGGGATGCCGGCACTGCATGAAAGTGGCGGCTTTACCTGCTACACCACAGCGCCGGCCCCTCTTTTCTTTACTAACTGTGAAAAGTGGAGAAGACCTTTTCCAATACTATTTCTAAACCTATTCGGGCTGCTTCCCAGCAGTGTGGTGGGAAGGCTCATTTATCTTAAAAGTGCTTCTCTAAGATTTAGGAAGCCAGAGAGTCATCCGCACCTTCAAACTGCAACCAAGAGTCTGTGACTTGAAGGGAGCTCCATCTGGCATGCGCATGTACATGGCAGGGACCCAAGTATTTGCGCTGTTATCCACCACCTCCCATGTGAATCAGCAGGAGTCTGGATTAGAAGCAGAGTCGAGACTCCATTTTAGGCATTGCAATACAGGCTGTGGGCCTTCTAAGTGGGGGCTTAACTGCCATACCACAACATGCACTTGCTACCTTTTGTGTTAGTTGATGCCATTTTCTAACAGACAGCTTCCTTCAATGGTGGACCTAGTTTTGCCTAAAGTACATTTTTTCAGCCCACCTGCATTGAGCTAGACATTGAACACTTTAAGTGTACGTTTGTCGTTTGTTGAGAATGAATTCCTACAAGACTCCTGTGAAGGCAGCACACAGCATAAGGCTCTGTCTGCAGCTACATTTTCGGCAGCATCACTGCTGCCGAATCTTATTCCTGGAAGAGAAAGAGAAGGCACCAAACAGATTTAAAGCAGTTCTTGATCATTATTTTTAAAGAATAATTTTACAATGAATATATGATATTTTATCTTTAAAAACACTGATTCATTTAAAAGGCAAAATTGCAGAGAGAGAGAGAGAGAGAGACAGAGACAGAGACAGAGACATCTTCCATTTGCTAGTTTATTTCCCAAAAGCCTGCAACAACATGGGCTCATTCAGGCCAAAGACAGGAGCTTAGAACTCCATCTAGCTCTTTCATGAGAGTAGCAGGGGCCCAATTACTCGTTCCATCTTCTGCTGTCATCCCAGGCACTTTAGCAGGGAACTGGATTAGAAGTGGAGCTGGCAGGACTTGAACAAGTGCTCTGATAAGGGATAACAACATTGCAACCAGTGGCTTAACTTGCTACACCACAATGCTGCCCCCTTTGACAGTCCTTTGACAAACATTTTCTGGAAAGTCCTGACCCACACATCTGCAAATAAACTGTAACTTTTAAATCCTGAGATTCAAGATCAGTGCTGGAATTTGGCTCTGTTTGGATGGTCCAAGGAGCTTGCTGTCTAATATAACATAATCTGAGCATCATGCTTGATTTTCAATGATCTTAGTGGCCACATTTTTTTAAATTTAAAAAGAAACAAAAGAGCTTCATTTGAACACTACATTTAATTCAGCCTGTTATATCCAAAATATTAATTCAGCACGTAAACAGCATAAAATATTAATAATGTATTATTTTACACTCTATTTTCATTGGAAATCTTTAGAAATCCTATATGTATTCTACATTTTCAGCACATTTTAATTTGAGCTAGCCATTTGTCAAGTGCTTAATAGCTGCATGTGTCCAGGGGCTACTGTACTGGACAGTACAAGTCCAATAGTAGAAATTTTGCTGCAGGAAAAAGGAAAAGCTCAAAGAGATTATAATGAAAATAGGAACTTACAATAGAGACCTCATACATGTGACCTCCCTAGGTGAGAACAACTAGGGGCACTTTGTCAAATTTCTTACTCTTAAAATATGTGTAAACCTGTACTAATGTGTGTGTGTGTTATTTTAAGGGCCAGCAGTGACAACACCCAGGCCAGATGCAGAACAGATCCAAGCCTGTTGGAATCCACTGCTCAGGAAAACCTGTGCATGTCCCTCACCAGGCGAGACTGGCTTCTGCAGGAAAAGCAGCAACTACAGGTGAGCATGTGAAGAGTCTTCAAGAAAGAGGACAGGATTTTTCTTATGTAGTTAATCCAGATGCAGAAAAGTGTGTCTTGGCTTTGCTTGAATGTAGCAATTAGAGCCTTGGCCATCTACGCAGAGTACAGAAAGAAGAGGTGGTAGGGAATGACAGCTAGAGGGCGTGTACCAATCTCATTACAAATGAGGGGTTGAAAGCTCAGCAGCGTTTGTGCCTGTATCTGATTTTCTTCATTACCTGCTGAATATGCTTTCCTTGTCTCCCAGGCCAATTTGTCACCTCTTATCATTTTGACCTTTAGGAGCTTCCCTTGAAAGACATCTGTGCTGTGAGGCTATGAGAATCTTTTATGGAAATGCCGGTGATGGTGGATAGTGAGCAGCAGTTAGGAGACAGAGTTTTTGAGCTGGGCAAGGTGGGTATGTCTAGAATGCCTAACGGCTACATGGTGGGCCTAGAGTACTGGATGGAAGTTGGCTAAAAAGCACACAGGGGCTTGAACTCTGGGTAGAGAACTGAGGATGAGGCAGAGACCAGTTGGGAGTTGTGGAGGCTGACAGGGAGCCCCAGAGACAGGGAAACCTGGAGCTGGGTCCACAGATCTTGAACCTTGAGGCCTGAAGAAAGAATGGGGAGTGGCAGGGAGACATTGATTAGAGGCAGCAGGACTCCGTGGCAAGAGTGTTTGCCTTGGAACTGAATAGCTGAATGAATCTGGACACATTATGGAAGCCTGGACAATTTCCGTCCCCATGAAGAGTGTGATTATCAGCTGAGTGTGCCTCACACAAATTGCTCTGGTAACAAGGTGGCAGGGGGAGGCAAAAGTCATCACAATGCCAAAATATTCCCCAATAAACAGAGTAGTTATATATTCAGTTAGCATCTTTGTAAAGTTTAGACATGTGGAAATGCTAAGTCCCGTTCTGAGTTTTCAGTAGTATACATAAATTTAACGTCCATATAATTCCTGAGAATGTCACAGTGTATAGAAAATAATTTTAGTCCCAGGTACTTATTTTTTGAGGCATTCTGTGCTGTATCTTAGTGCTAGCAGCACTCTGGGAATGATACCAGAATATGCATGTATTCAATAAGTGTTTATTGAGTGTCTGCTATGTGCCGGACACAGTTGGAAATGCTCAGGATTCCTGTGGAGCTTAGGTTCCACTGTGAGTGGGGGTGGGAAGATAGATAATAAATGATAAACAATAAATACCCACATTAGATACCTACTATGTTCTAGTGTGGTAAGAACTATAATGCCTAGACCATGATCATGGGGAATTGTGTCTGCTCCTCATTGCGATTGAAGCAAACCTTTGAGAGCAGAGGAGAAGTAGGCCTTGCAGTTGTTTCTGTTAGATCTTTCTGGGCAGAGGGGCAGTCATGTGAAGGTCTGGGTTGTGGGAGTATATTCAGCTGTGGCCAGGAGTGGTGTAATGGGCAGGGAGAATAGTGCATGTGTGGAGGGGATCCAGAAACAAAAGGGGCCTTGTGGGTTTGAGAGGCTTAGGCTTGCCAGTGATTACAGCAGGGAGCCATGGATGGTTTTGAGCAGCAAAATGATGCAATCAGAACACAGTTTAATAATTGTTTTGATTTCTGTGTAATATGGTATAGCATCACTTTGGAAAGCAATATAGTGGTCCTTCAAGAAATTAAAAGCAGATTCACCATGGGATCCAGCAATTCTATTTCTGGGTATATACACCCAAGTTGAAAGCATGAACTAAATAGATATTTGTATATCCATGTTCAGAGCAGCATTATTCACAATAGCCAAAAGACAGAACCCATACCCATCCAAATAGTCACCAATGGATGAATGAATAAATTGTCATAAAGTCATACAATGGAATATTAGCATTGAAAGCAAATTTTGACACCTGCTGCAATTTGGACGAATTTTCAGAATATTATGCCAAGTGAAATAAGTTAGTAATGATAGGACAAATGTTGTATGGTTACATTTATTTGACGTACTTAGAGTAGGCTAATTCATACAGACAGAAAAAAGTAGGGTAGATGTCAGGGATTACATAGGGAAGGGAATGGGAATGATATTTCAGTTTTGCAATATGAAATGAGGCAGAGGATCCAAGGTGGTGGCATATGGAGGGAGATTACTACTTTAGTTAGAAGATAGTTTTTAAAAAGTGGAGAGTGCAGTCTTAGGGAAGATTAGAGAGAAAGTGGCAGAGAAAATTCCATGCAAATCAGGATGCTGTGGACCTATGTGAAGGGTGTGGACATGCACAACTCAGAACCCCAGTGCCAAGAACCTCAGCACCAGCTCTGGAGTGAGGTGAGACCAGTCTGCAGCAGCCCAAGCCACTAGAGATAAGGCTGTGGGAAGAGGCTGGTGGGCATCCAGCATGGAGCCCTGTAAGGGACAGAGTAGCTGACAAACTAGAGGAGAAAAAAAAGGGGGGCACATTTTTCTCTCCCTGACCACCCTGTAACAAGATGAGAGAGTGCGGGTGTTATTCTGGACATAAGTAACTGCTGTGCCAGCTTGAGTCCATGAGCCCAGCAATTAGCCTAGCAGAGATGCTTGAGGCTGGCTGGTAGAACTGACAGGAGGCTGGGTGCTTGTAACTTTGGGAGGCTTGTGTGTTGGGACTGTGAAAACATTGTGACTATGTGGGAGGGTGCAGGGTGTGGCTAGGAATTTGGTAAGTCACTGTGGGTAGTTCCACATGCTTGGGGTTCCCTAATTTCCTGGCGAGGCTCATTGTTGCGGAATCTGTGCTTGCATCGAGGACTACATGGATACTTCAAGAGGTTCTTGTGGTGATCTGGACAAATATATCCACTGGGTCAAGTGCCGAGGCTCTGGTCTCCTTTGAGGAGAGGTGGAGAGTGTGAGACTATGCCAGCAGAGAAGAACAAACCTCCCCTTTGATAGAAAAAAAAAAGATTTACCATGCCCAACCTGGGCATCACCTTGGACACTCCCTTCACACTGGAGCACTGAACAGAGCATCCTGGACACACCAACCACACGCCTGTAGGTATTCACTGAAAAAGCAGCACTAAGCCACAGCGGATTAGTCCAAAGATAAAAGCCATCACAAGAAAAAAACAAAACAAAACAAAAAAGAAACCAACAAGTATCTCCACCAATAATGAATAATAAACACAGCAATTCAAGAAACAAGAATAAGGAAGACAACATGCCCCAAAAGAACACAACACTTCAATACTAGAATGTGAAGATGAAGAGACTGAAGAAATGCCAGAAATGGAATTCAAAGATTGATCATAGGTTACATAAAAGTAATCAGAAGCAAAACAGGAACTAATGAAATCCACACATGACATGAAAGAAAAAATCTCCCATGAAATTGAGATCTTAAAGAGAAATCAAAATGAAATCTTGGAAATGAAGAATTAAATACAACAAATAAAAAAGCCTTAACAACAGCCTCGGTGCAGCAAAAGAAAAACTATTTGAGTTGCAAGACAAATCACTGCTATTTTTACAGTCAGACCAAAAAAAATTAGAAAACTAAAAAACACTATTGGAGATCTATGGGATACTATCAAATAGCCCAACATACAGGTCTTAGGAGTTCCTGAAGGTGTGGAAAGAGAGTATGGATTAGAAGGCATTTTTAGTGAAATAATTACAGAAAACATCACTAATTTGGAGAAAGAAAGGGACATCCAAGTACAGGAAGCACATAGAACTCCTAATAGAAATCACAAGAAAAGACCTTCATCATGATACATGATTCTAAAATGTTCATGAGAGAAACACCAAATTACTGTCAGAGGATCTCCAATCAGACTCACAGCTGAATTCTGATCAAGAACCCTAAAGGCTAGGAGAGAATGGCAAGATATAGTCCAAGGCTTAAGAGAAAAAAAAAATGTCAACCCAGAATACTGTACCCTGCAAAGTTCTCATTTATGAATGAAAGTGAAATAAAGACCTTCTATAACAAACAGAAATTGAAAGAATTTGTCACCACCTGTCCAGTCTTACAAAAGATAATTAAGGATGTGCTACACAGAAACACAGAAACATGGTCATCACTAGGGAAGAAGAGGAAGGCAGAAAAAGTACTTTTACTCCCAGTAAAATCACAAAAGAAATCCAAAGTAAACAACAGGTATATTTATGGAAAAATTGCAGGGCAAAGTCATTAGTTATCAATTGTCACCTAGAATGTAAATGGTCTCAACTTTTCAGTTAAAAGATATGGATTGGCTGAATGAATTAAACAACAAAACCCATGTATTTGCTGCCTACAAGAAACACATCTCACCAAAAAAGATGTATGCAGACTGAAAATGAAAGGATGGAAAAAGATACTCCATGCTAACAGAAACCAAAAAAGAGCTGGTGCAGCCATATGGTAGACAAAATAGACTTTTAAAAAAAATTATTTATTTATTTATTTGAAAGAGTTACACAGAAAGGGAGGAGAGGCAGAGAGAAAGAGAGGAGAGGTTTCCACCTTCTGGCTCACTCCCCAAATGGCCACATTGACTGGAGCTTTAGCCAATCTGAAGTCAGGAGCCTGGAGCTTCCTCTGGGTCCCCGGGGTGGGTGCAGGGGCCCAAGGGTTTAGGCCATCTTTTGCTTTCTGAGGACATAGCAGAGATCTGGATCAGAAGTGGAGCAGCCGGGACCCAAACCAGCACCCATATGGAACGCCGGCACTGCAAGCAGTAGCCCTGCCCTCTACACCACAGCACCGACCCCGACAAAATAGACTTTAACACAAAAACTGTTGACTGAGACAAAGAAGGTCACTATGTAACAATTAAGGGATCAATTCAACAAGAAGATGTTACTATTATAAACATCTATACACCTAATTAGAGGGCACCTGGCTATTTCAAAGAAATGTTAATAGATCTAAAGGGAGACATAGACACCTATTACAACAGTAATAGATGACTTCAGTACCCCACTTTCAGCAATGGATAGATCAACAAGGCAGAAAAGCAGCAAGGAAACAGCAGAGTTAATTGACATTAT